ATATTTACTTACTCTTTAAGAAAAACGTTGATTGTAAAGATTTTAAACCTTTAAAAATCTCAAAAAACGGCAGAGCACAAATCACATATGCTAACTAGAGCTTTCTGTACAATTTACAGTGCCTCTCAAACCCAAGAAAGTTTAAATTAAAATTAAACAAAAAATATCTCACATAAAATTAATAATTAGGTATATCGTTGCTTACACTTATCTGTTTTTTTTTTCAATGTTCCTTTAGCCCTTTTAAATATCTATACACACAATATTTTCTACATAAAAATTTCTAGTATGGATTTTTCATTTACCGAATTACCGGTAAATTTCAAAAATTTACCAGTAAGTATACCGAATGTTTTTTTGTCAATTTATCGGTTAACCAGTAAATCGGTAAACCGGTATACAATCCCTACCGGTAAGTATCAGCAGGAATTTACAAAGACATTATATAAGGAAAATAAATAAATTAATAATAACTTCCAATATTAATTATAAAAAGGACAAATTAAAGAAATTAGAAAGAAAGAATAAGAGACACAAAGAAAAATCAAAAGGTGAATTTACTGGTAAGTTTTTTCAGAATAAATACAATAATTTAGTTAAGAAAATAGGATATCCGCAGGTAATTGTAAAATAAAACAATTTTAATCTGTGTAACTGTGAGGCTGTAATCTTATACACCNGAATAAGAGAAACAAAGGGAAATCAAAAAGTGAATGTACTGGTAAGTTCTTTCAGAATAAATACAATAATTTAGTTAAGAAAATTGGATATCCAACTTATATAGAAAAAGAAGATTATGAAAAGAAGTTAATTCTGAACATGATGGATATAGAAATTCCAGGCCCAATATCCCAAAAGTATTTGAGAGTCAAAAAATTATTAGATAAGAAAATTAATATAATACCAGAAAAAGTCAATATAACGAAGAAACATTTATGTTATAGAAATGAGGAAAAAAATGATATAATGGAAGAAAAAGGTGTTGTGTATTCGTTTGATTGTAATTGTAATCCAGAAAAAACATATATTGGAGAAACAAAGAGAAAATTGGGGATACGATTAAAAGAACATATTAGAGCAATACGTGGAAATTATGCAAATTCTGCAGTAGCGGAACACTGCAATTCAACAGGATGTGAAATAATATTAAAATCAGTTAAAATAAGAAAAAAAGAAGAAAATAATTATAAACGACAATTATACGAACACATTAATATAATCAAACAAAACAATAGAATGAATAACAATAACGGAAGAGAAATACACCAATCATGGAGAAGAATGATAGACACAAACAGGAAATTGACATATAAAGGGAACGATAGCGACCGGGAAAGACAAAGTGAAAGTGAAGAAAGACAAGTAGAAATGTAAGTTAGAATTTGTTTTAAATGTACAAAACTATGTAAAATGTTAACGTTTAAGGTTAGAGTTTAATGGAACAATTATTGGTTTGATTTTAATACAGGAATGTTTTAAAATGGATATTAATTGTTATTGGACTGAATTATTGGAGAAAAAGTAGATTTGAAAGAAAGAACATCAAAACAGTATGAATTTTTAATTTATTATCGTAGGCATAAAAATTTTTTTAAAAATATTGTCGGTAAATTAGTTTGCTTATTGTATGAATTTTATTTATTTAGAATTTGTTTGTAAAATACCTGCTGAAGAGGGACATACAGATCCGAAACGCAATTTGTATGTGTCCAGGTAATTGTAAATAAAACAATTTTAATCTGTGTGACTGAGTTGCTGTAATCTTATACACCAGTATAATAAGTCCTATTAATAGAAATACACTGTTATGGTGATTAAAAGAATAACTAGTTGAATTAAGGACATTGATGCATATTAATTAATTATTGTATATATAATATTTAAAGTTTTTGTAATACAGTAAAATCTGTGAAAGCTGGAACTTGAGTAATGTGGAAACTTCCAGAGATGGAAAGTGCAAATATTTTTCAGTAAAACAATTTACACATGTACTGTGGATGTCACACCAACAATTGTAACTCAAGTGAAAATTTACACCAAAGACATTAAGGAGAGTTTTAAGGAACACTTTTAATTTCCAGCTAACACTTTTGACATAGATATGAATGTCATCCTCAGGCAGTAATTAAAAATGAACAGATTTCAAATGGATTTAAATTAAAATTTTTTTTTGTAAAACAATTACATTTACTTAACATGTTCTCTGAAAGCTAGAACCTATGAGATGGACAAAATGAAAAAATCATGCTGTTGCAACCCTAATATTGTGA